TTATTTTTATGTTTTTTTTTATGTTTTAGCTGAATAAATTTAAAATTTTGAAACAAAAATGTTTTATTTCAAGCAGAATACAAAATTTAAAGGTTCTACTAATGTTTTCTAGCTTTTGCTTATCTTTAAGAAAGGTCGAATTTCTCTGGGTCTTATACAGTACTAGACCAAATATCTGGCAAGCTTGGGATTGGAAGTGGTCCAAATTTCTGGATTTTTCAGTCTTGTGGACACAGACTAAATATATATTTAAAATATAAAATAAACGCAATGGAGAGTAAAGAACAAAATTAATTCTAACACACCATATGCCAGCAGTCACACTTGAATTGGCATCATGTGTTTCCTGGTAATTCTGAATTTCTGGAAGCAGGATATTTGGTCTGGTACTGTATACTATAATATTAATTAATTTTTATTTAATTATTATTTATTAAACATTTTTTTAGTTTATTTATTGTAAATAAATTGTAAATAATTTAAAATTTTTTCATATTTCAAGCTAAATGTTATTATTATAGTCAGAATTGGATGGTGGTATGATGCAGCTAGATGAACCCTTTTTAAAAGTAATTTGAATTATTGAAAAACAAAAAAAGTGTGTTGCTGCAAAGGCTAAGAGGTTGTAAATTATAAAAGCACAACAGTATAAGTTTTATTCCCATTATTAATCTCACATAATGGGGAAGTCTTTACAAAGCTTGCTTCACTTTATTATTTTTCACCATCCAGCACTGATACAAACAACATAACTAAAATAACAAAATTCTGTTTACTTGGTTCCTGAAAATGTTAATACCTTTAAATGTTTATATTTTTCACTCCAAATAAAGTATTATTTTTGTTTGTTATTCATGATTAAATACACTCATTGCCATAGAAATTTGTGCACAAAGAAAGAATTGTCATATCGCTGTGAAACTTAGCATGCAGCTAAGTCTCAAGCAGACATGGAAATGATTGGCATTATAGCATGATGGCTCATTGCATAAGGCCAGCAAAAGGCATTAAAGTGCATCCACCTTAGCCTATAAAAAACATGCAAAGGCATCCTGTCTGTAGTTTACTTGTTGCAGAGGGATGCTGTATCACTAGAGATGCCTTTACATTGCAATCAAATACCATATGAACAACTAACTGACTTTGAGATGGGAAGAATCATTGGGTTGAGAGAAACTGAATGGTCATCTTGCCGAATAGCCCACCACCTAGGCCTTTCAGTGGATGACCTAGTGTTGGAATCAGTGGATGAGAGAGAGCTTGCACACATGGCACCAAGACTCAGGATATCCTCAACAGACCACTAGCTGAGAGAACTGCCTGGACCTCTTACAAGCATGCACACAGCTGATATGTCAGCCTCTATGTCTGTCCGTACCATTTTGAGATGCCTGGGTGAGGAACATTTGGTATTGCAGCAGCCATTATGTGTGCTGCCATTGACATTGCCCACCATCACCATCATTTGGAGTGGTATTGCTCCTAACAAGATTGGACTGCAATAGAATGGAATCAGGTTGTCTACAGCGATGAATTCAGATTCAGTTTGGTCACTGACAATGGCTTTGCTTGTGTCTGGAGACCTGGTGGTGAATGCCTCAGTCCTGCCTATACTTCGGAGCATCACACCACTCCATAGCTGGTATGACAATTCTGGAATGCCATCTCATATGACAGCCAGTCACATCTAGTAGTGATCAAAGGGACTATGACATCCCAGTGGTATGTTAGCAACATCCTGTATATCCTGAGAGGCATTTTCTAACAGAACAATGCTTGACCACACACAACAAGGATGTCACAGGACTGCCTCCGCCACATTACTTCCCTGACCTGCATTGCCACCTAATTTGTCACCAATTGAACATGTCTGGATCACCTGAGATGCCAAGTTGGATAGGTTAGGAGTTTGGCCACTAGAGGATTGCTTGCAGAAACTGTGGACTGAGATGCTGCAGGACACCATACAGCACCTATGTGCCTCCATGTAAGCCCATATCACATTGTGTATTCATGCTAGAGGTGGCCCAACAGGGTACTAGAACCTCCTTTCATTTGTAGTTTTTCTTGCAATAAATGATTCTTTTGCTTTCATTTTGTAATCACTTACTTATATCACTGTTACACTCACACATTTACAATTTCATTTGATTCCAACAACTCCTCCTTGATGCACTAATTTTTATGGAAATGAGTGTATTTAGGTAATTAAATTAATTGAATTAATTATTAAAATCATTCAATATTTAATTCATTATATATGAATACTGGATACTCAAAGCAGTAAATGTATTAGTCTGCTATTCTAATGACCCTAGTTTAAATCTGGGTTGAAGCTTCAAATATTTTTATGGTTGGTTCAACTTACATTTTCAAGACCATCATTCATTACTTGTTGCCCAATTGTGAGCATGACTGTGAACCCATAATGAACATGAGAATAAGATCTTATTTTTTACAAGGTGGAAGGAGTTAAAAAGAAAGTTATACAAGTAAGGATAAATATGAAAGCCTTAAAGCACTTGAATGTATCTAATGCTTTTTTGGAACAGAAAAACACAATTTTTTTTGTCAAAGTTTGTATTTAGAGAGCTTTCGTGACATTTATACATACAGAATAATTTTATTATTGTTCTCTTTTTAAATTTTCCTAGTTTTCTAGTACATAATATTTTTAATAATCAAGAAGAAATTTAACTTCTGGGTTTGAGTCCAGGTTAGCTAAAATTTTTGTGAGGGGATACATCCAGATTTGTCAAGTCCATCCTTTACAACCCTGGCTAAGTCCCTTTATAGGCACTTTACTGAACCATGATGGACTTGCATAAAAGGTCTCCTTAGTGATTTTAGGGAAGAAAGAGTTTAAAAAAATAAATTAAAAATAAATAAATATTTATATCTTACATGACAGTCTTTAAATTATCTAATAGACTTATTTAGTGTATTATCAAATTAATACCATAAATTCTAAACAAGGTTGGTTCTCAATACTACAAAAATTATCTCTAGAGAAACCTTCACTGACAAAACTAATTATTTTCTCATAGTTTCGGCTATTCTAGCAAGCATTGTTAGTATACATATGAAACAAATATTGGAACATAACATGTTTAAAATGATATTTTTTATTTTTTTTTTAATTATTTTTCTGATTTAAAAATATTTTTTAAATGTAATAAAAATTCAAATGTGTAGCAGATTCAGAAAATATTATTATAACAAATATATACAACTACAGTATATAAATTCATCAATTTTAATAAGTTTATCCTTGAATATTAAAGGAAAAATTCAACTATGATTATAATGTACAACAATAGATAAGTATGAGGATGAAATTTCAAAAAGGATTATACACTTAAATAATAATAACAATAAAATGTTTTTATTTTCCTGTTTATAAAATCTGTAAGCAGTATGTGTTTACTAAGGAATGTTTATGAGGAAAGTTCAAAAATATATATTTTATATTTATATGTTTGTTTGTTTATCAGATGTCATGTAATTCAATATTATCTTCCTATGGCATTTTATTTAGAAAATGTGCATATATAAATAGATTTATATTTTTAAAAGTGTTATAACATTAAATGTTTAAGATATTTAACCTAATGATAAATGTATTATGCAGAAAGAACAATTTTCATTGATCTTGAATATTGATACAGTTTAGAAGAATAGAATAAATAATAAAAATAAAACCTGGAATAATTTTGGTATTTTAATCTATTCAGTCTAATACAACTGAATTAAAAATTTTGTTTTTAGTCTAAATTTATAACTTATTTATTTATTGATTCAAAGGTGTTTACTTAGTTACAAGGAAATGAGTATTTTACCCAGTAACAAGTAAATTGGTGTTTTATCCAATTACAAGATTACAGTTGAATTTTAGACATATTAGCTAAACAATTTCTATAATTTCAGATATAATATGAATTTTTATTCATGAAATATCTCTGATATGGGAAGTAGTTTATTATATTTATTCAAAATGTGAAAAGTTTGCCAGAATGTCTGGATCTCCCAGAGAGGACTCAAGATCAGATCCAGACAGGTCAAAAAAATTCCAGGAACTTTTGGAGGTAATTCATTTGAATATGTCAAGCCCCATCCCTCAGCACCCAGTTGCCTCATTGTGGGCTGGACAAACTCATAACAGGCTTGCTAAAATGATCCAAAGAGTACCCATGGAGTGAAAAGAGTTTTTTAAAAAAAAGGCTGAAAAATCCAAAGACAAATTACAATATTTGAGAAATTAATATAGACATTGTATATAAATATGAAAATATTTATATAATAACACAATTTTAATTATTTCTAAAATGTTTAGAGATTAATTTTAGATATTGGCATTTTGTTTTTAGTAATTGGAGATAAATTACTTAATTGAATTAATTATTTTATGTTCAGGTTCTAAAGTAATATATAAAATAATCAAATTTACAAATTATTTTTCCCTTTATTAATTTTGAATTTCCATAAAAAATTAAATGTTAAAAGGAAAAAATTTGTATTGAATAAAACAAATTTTTGAAATTCAAATATTTCCAAAAAATCATTTTGCTGAATTTAAAAATATATATATATAATTTCATATCATAAACATTTCCATACAAAAATAATTTTAGAATTTTAATGAATAATGTATTATTTTTCTTGTGTAAATATATACAAATCCATAAAAAATTTTAGTGTAGATAATACTATTAGAATAATCAATATTTGCCTTAATAAAAAACACTTCTTTAATGTATGATTTTTATTCTTTTATTGACTGTTATGTTTTGTTAATTTAATAATAAATTTATTAACAATTCCAGATTTTTTTATTTAAAAATTTACTATCAAATAAGTATTATGTAATAATTTTTTTTAGTCACAATAATTGCAGAGTTTTGTTAATTTTTTAATTGTTGTAACAGAAATCAAAGAAATACTTTTATCACAAATTAAAGTTTGCTATTACAACTTTTATTTTACATTAAATAAGCACTTACCTGTTGAAGGCTTCTATGTTATCTCTTAATGTATATTCGTGATTAGCCCCACTAAAATAATAATCGCGTGCATCCGAATTTAAATGTTTATCCGCATAATTTTCGAAATCGTGCAAACATATTAAACGATCCAATTTATTTTTCTGCATTATTTTGCTGTTAGCTAATTAGTTTCTAACAAAATCTCAATATCTCATTGTTTCATATCGAATTATTTATCTTTCATCGTTACATCGATAACCGATTTGATAATTTAAGTTTGATTCTAAAGTAGTTGTTGAATTAAATCTATATTGATCTCAGCTTTTTGATCATTATATAAATTTTGTATCTACCGAAAACCTCTGTGTATCGAAAACGAAGTCATGGATTCCTACTTTAAATGGACCTTCAATACATTTTTGGATTCCTCATCGCAATTAATGGAGAATGGCAAAGTTTAATCAAAATCGATCGAACAGATTTTCGAGAATGAACACAATTCCGTAAGCCACACACAAGAGGCTTCACTAACGCTCTGCCTCAAAAATGTAGTAGCTCGATATATAAGTTTGTTACATAAATAAGTACTCTTGCATTTTTTAAAATACAATTTAGCAGTTTCTTCATACATTTCTTTAGTTTATCTGCAGATTTTCTGATAGTGTTTTCCATTCTTTACCCATGCTGATTGACTCCATTACCAGTAGATCCATTCATAACGGGCATAATTAAGGCATCATTGTTTGTTTGTACCTGCCGAGGGAATGCCTCCCGGGAGGAGTTTATGGGAAACTGTCCCATATTTAAGTGTTATAAACGTGAATAAAACGCGAAAACTTCCCGTGGCAGCCCGTTGGCGAGGCGCCAACCCACGACAAACTACTAGTATTTAGTGGTTTTATTCACTCGGCCACTGGTAGGCTTATTGTATCATTGTAGTCATTTTTTATTCTCCGCTTTGTGGGCACTAAGAGGATCTTTTTAGTGAGCCCATGTTGGATTTCAGTCAAGCCCGCCACAGGGTGGCCGGATAGTAAAGAATGAGCCTGACATATCCGGATGGATCACCCCTCGAAAAATTCCTGGGGTTTTTTAACCAGTCTGGATTCGCTCCTTTGTTCGCCAGAACAGTAGACTGCTACCTTAACCAGTAGGCCAAACGTACATCGATCTGAAAGGTCCAATGTGCACCAAGAAAATTTAATAGTCCTACTGAATAACTTACCACGTGGCTGCGTATCTTAAAAATATCCGTATTATTTAAGATGTTCCACTCATGCGTGCATCATGCACGCATGAGTGAAACTAGCTACCTGGATGAGTGAATTGTGAATGAACTTCGGAACCCGTTTACCTGGAGTAGCCACTTCAGACCCGCTGCAACTTCCTTGCGACCTTTGAATGAAGAAATTCCCCTTGCTCCTATTTGTTGGGTCCTGTATATCACCGTTCTTAGGAAGAAAAACGCCACACCATTAGCACTAATGGCCCGTAAATTGAAGTATTTCAGCCAAATTTCAAAATTTTCGGTTATGGTGTCCTAAGATATAAAGCAAAATACGAACGAACAGACATCCACCACACAGACACAAGACGCGCACAGAGTTTTTGTTTCTGTTTTTTGGGCTGCAATTTGAAAAAAGAAGTACACTTAATTCCCACTGTTGTCCACGTGTCCATCCGTCTTTTCTTAATCTCAAGAACGGAGTTAGATAGACGAAAGCTGAGACCAGATATGGAAATCTGGGGCAGGAGGCTAGGGACGATTAACTACATACGAACTTCCAGTTTGTATCGGAAGACATGTTATTTTAATTTAAAATTTTCCACTGAAAGGAGATATGTGACCATTATAACTCCGCTGCTATTCAGGATCAGTCTATTGTTAACAGGAAAAGTATGATGTACAGGGGCAAGACACCACTAATTTGAGGTGGAGAGCATATATTTTAAATTAAATACGATTAAAAATTGTAACCCGGCATTGTGACGATGTCAATAAATATTTGCTCATTTTTTGTTTTTGAAATGAGATCTTTAAACGTCGAGAAATTGAAAAAGAATAAAAAGGAAGGTGATTAGTCTAGACAGCGGACCTATAGGCCCTTAAAAGTGGCGTTTTAGGCGCTTAAAATAAGCTCTTAAATTGCGTCGTTTAGGCTTTATAAACAAAAAATAGGCGGTCAAAATTCGCGTAATGAATAATTAACGTACTTATCAGGACGATGAATTTTTTTTATTTAACATATGTATTCCAAACAAAAATGCACGTATTCAGAATGATGCAAATACAAAAGTAGACAAAATTATTTTTACATTTTTTATTCGCTTTGTTTCCCATAGTTAGCTTCATAATATATTACAAGCACTTTTTCCAAATTTTCAATAGAAAAGTTGTTGCAACTTTTGTCACTGAGAATTAATTTATATGCAGAGAAAGAGTATATAATCCGTTAATCTTGAAGATAACGGACAATAGTTCAACCTTGGAAAAAGATGAACTGGGAATTCACTTTCAGTTTTGCTTTTCTTTCCTGCCAAAACATCAGCCACAATAAACAAGCACTTTAATCCAAGTCTCTTTCGAAGAACTTTCAACTCTTTCTTCACTTTTTTTGCAGCAGTGCCTGGTGCATCACAAAGTTTCTGGTTTGCACTGTTGAGATCAATTTGTTCATATATATGTTTCCCACTGCTTTCAAGAGCAAGAGTATCTACAATGAATGTGAAACACTTGATGTACATCAACTTGTTTTGAACATAAATGTCATTCAAAATTTTCTTGGCTTTAGTTACACAAACTGCATTGTCCGCTAAAGTGGCCAGAAGTTTTTTGATATCGAAGAAATGTTCACTGTAGTAGTTAGTACAAAATCTTAGCCATGTATATGCTAAGGAAAAAAAAAAAAATAGGCATTTGCCTAAAATTCTCTACCTAGTTATTAATAATTTCTGAGGATAATTTCAAGAAAATTTATATTAATTTATTTAGTTTTTATTTACGGACGAATTCGCTAAGACAATGATGATTCTTACAGTTGAAAAACTGAAAACATTTTCTTTTAATTATTCATTCTAAAAGTATATAATTATTTAATAAAATAAATAAATATAGTTCTATAGAAACTTAAACTTTTTTTTTTAGATAATTAGCATACTCAAGAAAATTTATCTTGGAAGTCGAACATCTAAATTTATAATACATATTTCTTACAAAATACTGAGAAATGTAGAAAGTATTAATAATAAATTATCTCATTTTTCCTCGAACGCAATATTAATGTTAAATGTAATGACAAAAATACCTGTTATTGACTTATCGATTCTATCTTGAAGAATTTATAATGAATATTCTTTATCCTAGTCGATTCATTATGACCTATACGAACCAATAATTAGCATGATAGATGTGTACAATGCAGGAAAAATACATTCTATTAATAATTTTTCTAATGCTGAAATTTCGAGTATTATAATTTTTTACACAGTTCACCTTAAAAAAACCATTCACATATAAATACTGTTTATCTTATCTTTCACTCATTTTAACTTAAATTTTACATTATTATTAAATGTACATATACGTCCAAAGAAGTTTTAATGGTGTTAATAAACCATAATTTCTATTTTTGTTAACCTTTTCTTCATTAGTACTAACTTGTAAGAGAAACCGCTCAAAAGCAAATAGCAGAATATACATCCATCGAGAATCAAATCCGGATCCTTCTGGTGGAAGAACGATACATTTCCAATGGTCATCCATACAATTCGAAATTTTTAAGTTAATTTTATCTTAATTTCGTTTCTTCTATGATTTCTATACTTGATCCCAACTTAATCTACCATAATGGAGTCTTATGAGCGCATTCTCATTGGTGACGAAGTTGTCGCTATTATATCACTCATCCGCTTTCATGGAGATTTAAGGCTAACGACTGTTCCAAAGATATGCATCGTGTTCTGTAGTTTATAAAATTCGTTTATCGATGAAACAACAACAAGTACGTATGTTGAATACAGAATACAAATAAATAGTAAAATAATTATTTCATTGTCAATATCTTTCGTATACCTCAAGATATGTTATAGGATTAGTGGGATAAACCATCGCAACCCATGGGAATATGCCTATCTTCCTGGAGGACTTTATGGGGAAACTGGTACCCATTCAGGTGTTAGATATGTAGAAAACATGGTAAACTCCTTGCGGTCAGCTCGTTAGTGAGGCGCGATTTTTAGAGCAGAAAATCGCGCCCCTATAACGGGCTTGTCATCAAAAATGGCGTCAAGGAGCTTTCTCACGATTGCCACAAGAAGTAGTCGCGATGTCATGGATGTTTGTCAGCTATGCGTGTAATGACAGGGCTCCTTATGGGAGCCTGATCGAGGATATAGTTCTATAAACAAAACAATAGCTCATAAACTAAGCGACGTATGACATTGAAATTTTGCATGTGCAGAGAAGATACATTACAGGATTTCTCAGAATAGTCAAATTCGAGAAACGGAAATTACGTGCAGCGTAATTATGCGTGAAAAGTTAGCTAAAAGTCGCCGTCTTAAGCATGCGATGTTATAAATAAATAATATATATATATATATATACATATATACATATAATCGCGGGGTGTAAAGATAAACAGAATTCAATCATAAACAGATTGCAGATAGTTTTTCCTTGACAGCATGCGGGGCCGACGAGGGGTGAGATGATGAGGTAAATTCCCTGGCCAGGGATTCACAAGGACTTAGATATCATTCCACATTTTTTATGCGCTGTTTTTTTAGCTGCTAAAACATTATTGTAATACAAAATGCTTAGTAATAATAATTTTTTTTTTCATTTTTAAAAAAGTAATATATTCACAAAAATACCGAAAATAAATTTCTAAATAATATTACTTGGGGTCCATGTAATTTTTCCCCTAGACCCAGCGACATCTCTCGGCATCCCTGGCCAGATGGCAAAGGCAATTAAGGTTAGTCTATTACTCTAGAGAACCCGGGATCGAATCTGGGCGAGGCAACTCTCCAGGGATTTTTCATGGGTAATCTGTCCCGTATATATCGGATCTTGTCCCTTACCATCCGGCCAGGCCATGGGAGAGGGAAAAAAGTCAAAAAGCACGATGGGGTATGGAACCCATTGTGGGTATGGGAAAAGAAAGGTCATAATGCCCACAGGCGGAAAGGGCCATAGATAAAAAAGTTCTTTACTTAGACGGAAACTTTATGAATAATTAACGTTTTAATAATTACTTCAACTACTGGATAAAAAACTCTAACATAAAATAATTTTTGCGACCAAGAGCTCTAAAAAATCATTTACTACATCATAAACAATTTGCTTCCTAGCATCATTGTTTTCGAAAGCTTTTGTAACGCGAATATCTTATTTACAATTTTGCTATAAATTCTTGGTTTTTAAACCACTTTTTAGGACGCAACAATAAAGGAAATTACCTTGAATAATTGCGCTTATCATTTTATCTGCAAGCTATTTTCAGATATGTTTGAACATTTACTTTCTCATTTTCTTTCCTGGATGGAAGATTCAGACTGTAATTAATTTCTTTGTTTAATATCTTACTCGAATTAACGTTTCAAAACGTTTCATGTAGAGGGTTTCTCTTCATGTTACTGAAATTCTTATCAACAAGGACTAACATACAATTCAATTTATTTTTCTAACATCGTCATTGATTTGTTTATATCTCCACGAATGCTCATATGATCCCGTTGTAGCAATTCATTGCAATTCTTCCATCATACGTATACTCTAAATAGGTTTAAAACTAAAGCTCTTAACTCTGCATTTCTCAATGCCATGAATATTTTTTTCTTTCCACATCTATGTTCAAATGTTTTAGCACACATTTTTTACTTTACATTAGTAAATGAGAAATTGTATAGAAATAGTTGAAGCATTATACTGTAATGCTTCAACCATTTTATTTGATCAGTTTCTTTATATTTTCCATTTGTTAACTGCAAATTCCAGAATTACACGTAATGAGATAACTATTAAATATGATGCCGCCAATTTAAATTCCTTTTTGACTACTTACTCCATCTCTGTCACGTTTTTTCACTAATATTTAAATTATTACCATTGTAAAAATTGTATTAGAGCGCTTCCAAAACAGCATATTTAAAGTGCAACTATTTAAATAAGTAAGAACTTGCTGTGTGATCATTAATCAAAATACTTTTGCAAAATGATTTTGGTAAAAATGTTATTTCAAATAGGAAATTTTTTGAAAAATTTTAGGACCTTATTAATCTACTAACCACGGCCAAAAAAGTTCTGGCTAAACGCTTAACTATTAATAATATGTTTCTAATGATGAAGAATGAAATTACAAATGTTCAGTGCTGTAACTAGCCATTCCTGTGACCCATGCAAGAATTTGCATTTAGACTCCTATTAGGTTTGGGAAAATAATAAAACAAATACATGCATTTTGGGTCCCCATCCAAGTGGACCCTGTGCGGGTGCACCTGTTGCACCTGTCTAATTACGGCACTGCAAATGTTACTCGAAAATAGTTATTCCCGAAAGTAATGTCAATAACATAAATAACTATAGTCTGCACAGCGAAAGAAAAGACATGAATGAGCCTGAACTGGGAAGGTCTATGTTAGATGAAAGGGATGGAAGAAGACAAGTGACTACGTTTTTGGGAATTGAAACGGATCTGATCTCTTTCAACTGTTTTGTTTTTTACATTTCTAAAACGTTTTTAAACCATCTTTATCATAAATAATTTTATTGTTTTATTTTCTTACAAACTTTATTACATACTATAATTCGTACGTTATTCACACGTTAACCACATCCCTTTGATCTGACATAAATTCTTCGAGCTCAGGCTGACTCTACTCTTTCGTTGCGCGGACTATAGAAAACAGTAAAATTACATTTAAATTAATCAACTAACTTTTTACACCGCACGCACAGTCTACATGTCGGACCCCGTCCCTCACCACCCGGTCGCTCCATTGTGGGCCTGGCCGAACCCATAATGGACTCGAGGCCCTCTTAGTGCCCACAGGGCGGAAAGAGTATAAAAAAAGTCTACATGTATTTAGATTTATTCATTTATGCTTATTTTGTTTTTACAAAATTTTGTACAAAAATTTTATAGTTATTTTGGTGTCGTTCTCTCTGATAGTGTGGTTCTCAAGCCTAATGACCCTAGCACTGCATTAAGAAATAATTTCTGTAATGGATGTTTAGATAATTAGTTTTCAATTATTTTCATGCAAAAAAAACGCAAATTTTATAATTTTCTGAAAGAACAATTTAGCATTGCTTTGCATTTTTATAACAAGGTATAGTACTCTACCAGCACGAAATAAGTAAAATTTTAGATTTCATTTATCACATTACGGCAGATCCGATAAACAATAAATTTAGTTAATTAACGCAGATGAGAGATACGTGACGGATAGGACACGAATCCGGATCCCTCGCGAAAATCGAGTGGCAACACTAAAAGCTATTTCTTTCGTGTTGCCACTCGATAAATATTTTTATAACGTTTCGCAGATGGAGTAAATTTCTTTTCGAGTTTTTATGAATTTTTATTTTAGTGCTTAAAAAAAATAATTAATTTCTGGACAATATATAATATTTAAAAATCAAAAAAGTAATAACGTAATTATAATCCAGAAGGAGGCGTATGTTATATATTGCGCAAAGTTTTCCTTGTGATGATGAAAGGATTGGTCGCGTGACTGTTTCTTTTTGATAGTTCGTGTTTTGTATAAGTTTCATGGACGGACTTGCTCCGTTTCTCATCAACTTTATTCGCATCTTACGCCTTTATCAGTGATAAAATCGAGTCTAGAAAGTAAACAGCTGATCGGTAATCGTTACGAACTTCAAACAAGAGTGATTTTTGTGAAGGTGGTTCATTGCTTTCACTTTTATTTTGTATTATTTGGAGTAGAAGGTAATTTAAAAATCAATTTTTTTTTTTACAGAATATTTCCTATTATACTTTACATAATTAACATATATACCATTAATTTATTCATTTAATAACAATCCTAATATACATAAACACGTGTTTAAGCTGTTATGCACATTTACATAATAATTTTGTGTTTTTTGTATACATTCTGTATGCATGAGATGAATGAGATCGAATTTTAGTATGAATCTGCTTCGATTAGATCTTTTCGATGAAGAACTTTGCAGGAATCGCGTGCTTTTCTTTGCAGCACATTATCCTGGGGCCCCCACCGATAGAAGGCCCGAAATCTTTTATATGGAAGTGTTTCCCCAAAAAATTCTCCCGAAGAAAATGTCTGAAGTCGATATTGCACGTTGGAACCCCCTAATTCGAATTTGTCTGGGCCCCGTGAAGCTATAATGCGCTGCCGATGTTTCTAACTGGGAACATGTTGAAATATGGATTGTTTTTTATGATAAACGGCAATTGTTCAGGTGATTATGAAAGTGGCTGAAGTCATTTTTCATTTGGAGAGAGACATATGTATGTAAATTGTAAAATTTGATGCATAGTTTATGAAATAAATTTAATGTTTTCCATTTTTGACTTGTATCGCTTTCATAATCACACCACAATGTATTTTCCCATTAGGTAAGAATTGCTTATTTTGTTGTAATGTAATAATGTATGCTATAGCATTATGCTATGTTTTATACATTCGTATATATTTAATTCTGTAGCAAACTATATAAATTCTGCTTTGTTAGAGAACAAAATTAGAAAAATCATATCTTAACGTGTTTTTGATAAGGGGGAAAAAATCTGTTTTAAAACTGGTATGTGAGAAACTCTAATATCTTAAGCTTAATGTAAATGCAAAGTAGTTACTAACTGGTTGTTTCTTTATATTGTTAGCTATTTCATTAAAGGAAATTTTGCTATTGTTCTTTCAAGGTTTTTTAAAAGTAATTGTATTCGTTGAATTAATAAAAGGAAGTATTGAGAGTAAGAAAAAAGAAGTCTGTATTTGACGTGAAGTAGCATTAATTGCATTGGATTCTTTCATATTTTTGATGTCATGCTATTATACACTAAATTTGAATTTTTGATTCTTTTGTTAAATGGTAACACATACAGGATTTTAATTAATTTATTTAGTTAATTTAATTTTAATTTAGAAGCAATAAAATATTGAATGAATGACAAATTTGAGATAATTGATGAAAAAAGTATCGTTAAAAAGTAGTGTGAGGAGTTTGTTACATTAGTTATTATCAATTTAAAATGTCACTAAAGGATTGTAAAAGTAACTTGATTTAATATGACATGATTGTTTACTTTAGAGTAATAGCAATAAAATAAATTACTGTTTTTATTTTGTATGCATAACAATAATTTAAGGATATATAATGTAGGAAATTATTAAAATTATAATCTTTTTGAGGATAATTTCATTGATACTTAACCTTCTTATGAAATCAATTTGATATAATGATTATCTCGGTAACAATGTTAAATAAGTGTAGATATTTAACCTCTTACTTATTTAAACAATATATAAAGGAATTGTACAGTACATATCATAACCTTCCTTTTAATTGATTCTAAAAGATGAACAACAATAATATATCAATTTTCAAATTGTCAAGTTGCAAATGTCAACTGAACGGCAAACATTTTAACATTTGCCGCATTCTAATACTTTTGGATTTTATGTAAATTATTTTGTCATTATCCGGCAACATTATGCATTCCTTTATCTATTTGTTACTTTAAAAAAGCTTCAAAGCATTCTAAACCAAGGAAGACCTTTTAACAAGATTGAAAACATTTGTTTAATAAAAGTGTGTGCTAGATTGAAAGTATACTTACCAGACATTAAAAATGTACTATCATATTACTGTTTAATGTGAGCTCTATTATATACAAATTCTATTGAACTGAATTAGCTGTTGGTGATTATGAATGATTATGAATTAATCTATTTTGTGCTCTCTTGTCTGCTGTTATAATTCTCAAACCTTATAATCTAAATGTTTTTTCATGCTTTTTTTTTGTTCTTGACTTTTGACATCCTAATTTATTGCTTATTATAATTATTCCTTATTTGCTTTTAAGATATATTAAAATTATATTAGCTTTTTTTCTGTTCTTAAGTATTTTCTTTGAATTAACTCATTATAATATAAAGTTATAAACTATATTTTCATTTAAAGAAGCAATCTGAGAAATCAAATACATCTGTATATTCTCAAGAAGCTTCTTGATTGTTTCTTGCATAACTCCTGTTAATTAACTGATATCTTAGGGCTATTTTATTTTGTGGATTATGGTTGCTGTGAGAATTTTAAATTTGTTTATTGAAGATTTTGATTCATTTTTGTATAGAAAATTGGCCTTTCTATAATAGTTTTATTTTCAATAAAGTAGTTAAGTCAATGACATTTTTCTAAATGTGAAACTCTATGAAGCATAGTTTGCTTTATTACACTATAATATATATATCTATTAATGCTATACAACTTCACAGAAGTCAAACTATTAATTACTTTAAAAAAATAAATCATATTTTCAGTTTAACTACGGTATCTTGCATAATGAATGAATTACCAATTTCCATACTTGTTATCCTCTAAGAGTAATTTTTTATTTGTGGATTTTGTCAGATTAAAAATTCATAACAAATTGACAGCCTTAAAATAAAAAATGTTATTATTTTAAAACTATTCTGTTTTATTGTATTGTCAATAAAACTGACTTTTCATTAAGAGTTTTGGTAAGAAAGACGACTATATTTCTATTTCGTAGAGAAAACTTTTAATTAATGATTAAAATGGATTTTAGACTCACCTCACATCAAAGAAATTCATTAAAATTTGAGGTGATTCTGTGATTGCATAAGTAATCCTCAATATAACAATTTTTAAACTGATTTTATGCAGATATAGGAATTTTTTAAATATTTAACATAATGAAGAAATAAATTCTATATATATATAAATATTGTTCAGCTAGGTTTTTAATGAAAATAATAATGTGCAGTATGATATAGTAAAAAAACAGAATGCAGATAATCTGGAAAGAATCACTTGCTATGATCTTTTGATATTTAGTAGTTTATTTTATAATTTTTTCCTTAATGTTCTGTGAAAAGACAGTGTATTATTTAGTTTGTTTATTGATATTTGATGATTTTTGAGTAATCATTGATGGTTGCTATAAATTGTGATTTATATTTTAAGGGGACATTAAAGCCAAATGATTGTTGGATTATATTGGGCTATATGACTGCTACAATTAGCAAGAGATGGCACCTAACATCTACCTCTAGTGCCAAATTACTTGGCATTTAATTATTAACAGTAATAGTAATATAGCCCTATATAATCTGGTTATTGTTTGGTTTTAATATATAACTATTAGGTTTTAGATGTTGATATTTCTAAGGGACATTATTTTAAAATCATAAGATAGTGCGCCCTGTTCTAAATTTTTTATTTTTGTAATTGTATCATGTAATATAACAATTGCATCTAACATTACAAAGTCCATAAAACAGGTTTAATTACATAGTTCATGTCTTTACTGATATTTTTGAACAACTGTAAAAAGTTTAGGAAGGAATTGTTATTGTCAAGCAAATGTTTTTCACATATATAATTAGACTTTTATATTAAAAGATTTTTTATTAGGCTATTGTATATGAATACTTTTGAATAATGGTAAAAATAATATAAATTCTCAACTTCATTCAGAACATAGTTTTATGAAAATTCAGTTCAAATAACAAAAGAACAGCCGGATTTATTTATTGGGCTGGTTGTATTTACAGAAAATTAAGCTTTTAATCAAGTGAAATTGCTAAGTATTAATGTTCTCAAGCACCTTTAGGTTATAAATTATTCTAAAAATTTTAATTTTTGGAATGATTTATTCCTCACGAGTGTCTTTTGAGACTCGGGCTGTTGTGTTGTAAAGGTATATTCTAGTAAAACAATTTTGTTATTTACACTGTCTTATTCAAATCTATAACAACTTCTATCTGTGAAATTTGAATATTAATTTATATTATTATTGTTAGATAAAATGTTTTGAATTAGAACAAATTAAAACCTAAATATTTGCTAATATATATGCAAATTAACATGTCTAAATGTTAATGTACAGCACTGTTGATTACCATAAATTTGAAATATTAAAAAAGCGACATCTAAGTGTATTAAAATAATTTAAAATATCATTTCAATTTAAACTTTAAATGTCTTTGAATTTAATGAAAGTTGATGTTAAAAAATATTAAAAGAAATGAGTAGCTGTCAAATAACTAATTAGAAACAAATTAATGTCAACTTAAATAAAGAATTTAATTAAAAATATATATCAGAAATAGTTATTAAATTGTATCAAATCAATAATAATAATTCAATAAAGTAACTTATTGTCAGATGAAATTTAAGCTTGGTTCTCTGTGTTTAAAACTCATCTTGTGGTTTTCATTTTCCTTTTTTTTATAATGCTTTTCTTAAAGATTACCTTAAAACTATCTGCATAAATATGAAGAGGAGAATGCTTAAAAATATTGAATTAATAACAAAAATAGTTAAATGTTTTTGTAAATATATCTTGTAAGACAATACATAATCTTCATAAGATACATAACAGTTTATCTTGCTCTAGTTTAAGTGTATTGGGAAATTATTCTCAACTAACGTTTGGTTTCTTGTTACTAGCATTGTTTTGATACATCTGTTACTAGCTAAAATAATTAGCCATGCATCATTTACATGCACTAATTTAGCATGTAGTGAGTACAATATTTGAAAAACTTTTGCTTTTTTGCAATTAATTTTGTAATTAAAGGGGAGAATATTTGTGTAATAATAAATGGTGAAGAAATTAAGCTGTATTAAACATTTTTACTGAACAGGATTATGAAGTTTTATATTTGAGTACGAAAATCCTATAACAAGTGGAAGAATGTCATGAGCACATGTAAA